TCAGCAGGAGAGCCAGCAGGTTCTGGAGAGGAAAAGTGAGAAACCACCCACTCTCACTTGCTATCTGTGGGCTGCACCACTTTCTTAACCCCAGGATAAGCCTTACACTTAAAGGAGGTCCCTGGAGATACAACAGAATCTTGCAGACAATTCTGCCTCCTTTCCCCCAGGGTTCTACTATCTGGGGACTCAGGGTGACCACTGCTCCCATTAAATTTCCTGACAGGTACATAAATTCAAAAACAAGTTGAACTTGTTTTCTCTATCAGGGGAGAAGGCCTTTATGACTGTCACTTTCAGAGAGCTTTGACTATTTTAGTGTGAAAAAATGCTCCTAAATTTTCTTAGTAAATGTAAAAATACAAAGCAGAATTCACTGTGCTCCCAGAAACATATTAAGTCGTAATTAGCTCGGAGATGGAAGGTAATTTTGTGCAGTTCAGACTTGCTCTGTTTTGGGGACACATCCTTTTCAACTTAATAGTCATCTTTGCTGCAGTTAAAAAAAAAAAAAGCAACTCAGTGGAATATAACAACAAATACTTATTTCTTGTTCACATTTCATGTCAGCAGACACAGGGTTCTGCTCATTCTCCCACATAGACCAAAAGAGCAGCTTCTGTTTGGGGTTCTCCATTCTAGTGGCAGAAAGGAAGAGCTAGAGAGGTAGTGGGACCCTGTGATGCCTCTTAAAACTTCTGCTGAGAGGCGGCATACCACACATCTATTTACGTTTGATTAGACAAAGCAGGTTACGTGGCCAAGGCGAAAGCCTTTGGAGCTGAAATGTGTAATGCTTGCACAAGGAAGTGGGTAGGGTACACCCAGAAACAGAGAGCATCCACCAAGTTCATGAGCATCGTCATAGCCTGGATAGGGGTCCAGATACACACTGTACCTTACAGAGCAGAGACTCCAGATTCCAGACAGAAAATGAGCTAGAGTTATCTGTCTCTTCAAATGACAGCAGGAGAAAAATAAAGAACACTGGTGATTCTACTTTCTGCCTTTTTGATTGCTGTTTTATAACTTGATTTCCACACATTTGTATTCCTTTCCTGTTTGCAGGGGATGATGGAACACAGACTCATCCTGAGAATAGCAGCCAGGAAAACAGAATCAAGGCTCGCTGCCTATCCTGTACGTCTATGGTTCTGAAGGCCATCTGGGGACTTCTGATCATCCTGTCAGTGTCATCATCTTGGGTTGGAACCACACAGATTGTAAAAATTACTTATAAGAACTTCTACTGTCCATTTTTCATGACTTGGTTTTCAACAAACTGGAACATTATGTTTTTCCCAGTCTATTACTCTGGTCATCTGGCCACTGCTCAAGAAAAGCAATCTCCAATGAAAAAATTCAGGTAGGTTTCATGTTAAATGGCCAGTAGGAGATGGTTTGAAATAATTTCATGCAAATATGCGTAATTTCGTCTCTTTGGAATATGAGGTGAGTTGAGGAGTGTGGAGAGGCAGGATCTAAGGTCGGTAGTGAACATATTAACACGAGGAAACAGAATCGGTACCACCCCAAAAATTATTAAGTGTCTACAACATGCCAGGCACTGTGCTGGTGCTTTTGTGTATCTTAGCTTATTGACCATCATTGGTGGTAACAGCCACGTCTTAAGACGGTGTTAATTATCCCCATTTTAACACAAGAGGTAATAGGTTTGGAGAGATTCAGGGACTTGTCCACGGTCACACACTTATAAATAATGGAACCCAGATTTTAATTCAGATCAGTTTATCTCTTGCCACGTTTTAAAAGAACAACACAGGATCTCGAGCCCAGAAAAAAAAACAAACTGTATTAATAAGATTATTACAGAAACATTTGCTCAGTATTCTGGACACAGTGGTGTTATAGCAGATGAAATGACTTGGTCTCAGGTAAAGGGAAGTTTGGCCTCGGGATGGTTTAAAAGATGCTGTTCTTTGCTGGCTAGGAGCACAGAGAGCCTTGTCTGTTGGTTTGCTAGCCATGAACTTGATAGTACCATGGTTCTAGTGGTTGCTCGGAGCTAAACCTGAATTCTGCAGCCCCACCTTGGGGAGATCAGGAAGCTGGCAGACATGTCATCCAGCCCTGCACAGCACTCAAGGAAGGCAAAAGCAGCATTCGGGTCAAAGTCCTGTGCTAACAGACAGCTTCTTGAAAGGAAAAGCCAGAACTAAGGAATAACTTCCAGGACAGTCACTCTGATCACCAGGAGAAAACAGCAGTCTTGACCTCAGCAGATGGCAGTGGGAAAGCGACAGTTTTCTTCACCCGCTTACTGCTCCTCGGCAGGATGACAATAAATTTGTATTGCAGGAGCCAAAATAACCTTGCCCTTTCTTGCCCTTTTACCTAATGAAAGGAAGGAGTGACTGTTACCACTGATGCATTATAAGACTGTCCTTGAAAACTTAAGACACTGTGAAGGCTTAATCTCCAACTTCCAATTTATCACCAGCTTGGAAGTGCCCGGGAATAGTGAAGTCACCCTGTGAGCTGATTTTCCACGTGTGTCCATGAACGTTCAGCTATCATTAAAGAATGAAAAACCAGTTCAAGAATGATAAATGTTTTCTGGTTTGGAGGAAAGGAAAAAGCCTTATACCTGTTTGGGATTGCTAAAAATACTTTCTATTTCTTCCCATCAAAATAGATGTGATGCTGGGGCATAAGATCAAGGGACATGATTATCAGAATAAAATTCTCCCTGTTTGAAAATACCTCCATTTACCCATAGCATGTGTTCCTATGGTTTAGACACACGTGCTGATAAAAACAGCAAAAGTTTAGTCTGGGAAGTAATACCTCAGAACACCTCAAAGCAAGCCAAGTCAGTTTTATTGAAGAGAATACATTTACAAGAGGCTCCTGCTGACAGAAGTGTTGTTTGGGGAATGAGTCTCATCTTCACCGCATCTCTCATGTTGAACTAACTCTGAATTTAGTGAGACCTGTAACTTGATAAGACACCTCCTCCTGTTAGTGCCTAGTGTGAAGTTGCCCATTTCTGAAAGTGAATCAAAGAGGTTTTATTGTCAAGCAGAAAACATTGTATGTGAAAGGAATCTCCAGTGGCCCCCTCCATATGAGAGGTAAACATTGCCAGAAAATGCTGAGATCCTTGATCTTTTTTCCCTGTAGACTCATTAACACCATCTGCCAAGAAGGCACCCCCTGAAGCTCTCATGGCAGAACGAGGGGAAAATATAGTATATAAGACTGAAAACAGGATTTGTCCCATAGCGCCAGACCCTATACCTATTTTCTCCTTTTCGCTTGAATGCTATGAAAGCGTTTCCAGTCTTTTGCTTATCACTAACATCAAAAGAATTTTCAGTAAGGTATCAAATCTGGGTGGTAAGGATTGTTCATTTGGAAGTAGTTTTTGATATTTCAATCATTCCATTTATATACTATCAAGAGAATTCAATTGCCTCAGGTGGATTTGAAATTTAAGAAGAAAAAAATTATATACCATAGTTTTGATGGTATATCAAAAGGGTATCAAAAGGTAATTTCCTAAGGAAAAAAATACTCTAGAAAGCATGAAACTAGAGCCAAAGATAAATTTGCCATGTGTCAGGAAGCTATGAAATGTGCTTAAGATGCCATCTGACATACAGAAAGCGTTCCATAACTAGTAGCTGCTGGAACAATGATGAGCATAGTTACGTTATTAGTGTCCCCCGACTTCTAAGCTTCTTTCCAAGTTTTGCCTCCTGTCAATGCCTCTTGTCTAGAAATTCTGATCTCATCATCCCAAGGAGAAACCTACTATTGTTATTTCCTTCTCCATAGAAATCCATCTTTAAAAAAAAAAAAAATCACATTTCCCAGCACTTACTGCTTAAATGGCAAAAGGTTTTACCCAGGTGAACTGGCGTATGAATGGAGAGCATTTTTATTAATTCTTGTAACAGCAGTGACAAGTGGGGAGAAGGGAAGTGACGAGAAGGGAAGAAGAAAGGGTAACAAGGAGGAAGCCAATACTGGGGGTCAGGATGAGCCAGGCCAAGAGCCTCTGCTGGGCAGCAGCCCTTTGCCTGGGGGACTCTCCCCATCCATGTGCCTCCACTGGCTTCCCCATGGGGCAGGGTGTTCCCTCTCCTGAATCCAAAGTCTTTGCTGGAGAGCACTCTACCCAGCACGATGGTGGGCTCTGGGAAGGAAGAACCATCACTAAGGCCAGTGATAAGAAAAGAAATACTTTAATCAGAAATGGATTTGTTGTGGTTCTTAATAAACATGTATTTTAAAGGACATTTAGCAGTTATAGATGTCAGGATAAACCCACGACTCTCCACTCCAGCTCTCCCTGGCAGACTTCCTCACAGAGCAAATCCCTTTGTAAGTACAGAACACAAAATGTGTGCCCAGTTGCTCTAGGAAAACTGTTGCTTGCTCTGTGTGTAACTCTGATTTGAGTATCTCAAAGGTAGGGCTTTAGAAAGGCCATCCATTTTATAATACTGTAAATTAACTACACTTCAGTAATACAAAACAGGTCATCCGTTTTATAATAATGTAAATCAACTACACGTCAATAAAACAAAACAGAGAGGCCATCCATTTACCTGTGTGTGTGAGCACGTGTAATTTCTGTTTACTTTGCAAAAGGCTTTGCCTCTGGCTTATTTAGTCCCTTCATTGATGTTTTGTCTCCTTCAAGTAAAAATTTAGCTTTGGGAATCCCATTTCCATTTTACAAAAGTCTTTCCATTTTGGTTGTCTGCCACATGAAAGTAAAATCACCATATGACTGTCTATGTGTTCAAAATGCATTTTTAACCTTCCCAGAATCACTGGCCTATGTATGATTCCCCGTGTTCTCAGCTGCTTGGAAGCAACATTTACTATGAGACTTGATTTTGAAAGCTGTGTCCCTGTGCTTGGAGCCTCACCATTTTGTCACGCCCTTCCCCCATGTGGTCCTCCTGTGGGGTAAATTGCTTCATACATGGGAGGCAAACATTGGCTGGAGATTACTTTGCTTTGCAATACTTTGAGGCATAATTATTTCTCTTCAGAAAGAGCTAGAAGACAAACCAGAAACTAGTACTACCTAGAGCCATTTAAATAGATTTGTCAACATTATAAACGTGCAAATATGAATAACTTGTTGCTTTAAACAGAATATTTATACTACTCTTGAAAATACAATGCCTGGCACAAGATAGTTGCCCAATGAAAGCTTGAATGTTCATGTACAACTGAGTGAAAAAAATAAAGCTGAATTTTCCCAGCTTGTTTTCAGTCCATAATCAAAAAGGCACTGCTACTCTACCACTTTTGATGTTGCCTATATGTATCGCTAGCTTCAACATTTTGATTAAAACAATCCTTTGGGCTAAATAATCAATTTAGTCAGAAACCAAGCAAATCAAAGATTTAACTGAAATGACTATTTTTACACAATGAATTCAGACAATTCCTCCAGAATGGCCAGGTGTTTGTACATAAATGCAACCTGAATTTTATTTATTTTACCATTTGGGGGTTATCACAGATGCTTCCTTCATTTTTTTCTGCCTAAAAAATGCTAGAGGAAAAAGAAATTTGTCCATTGGGCAGATATGTCAGAAAAAGGCATAATGTTTTAGGAATAATAAAATCCCAAGCTGTGCATGCCTACACATGATATGTGAGGCTGCACGTGGTCTGTAGCTTATTCAAACAGTAGCAACCATTTTGACCCTGTTGTATTTGTCCACCGGGAAAGAATCATCTGTCTCTTCAAATAGCTAGTAATTCCAGCAACCATTCATTTCTGGATTTCTCCGGGCTTCTCTGAGAATGTTTGGCAACAGCAAAATGGCTACCCCCAGGAATCTCCAGAGAATGGGTAGTAAAGGCTTAGCTCTGTGCCTGGGGAGATGTGGACTCCTCCATGGAACCCTTTGCACTCACAGCCCGTAGGTGGCAGAACTGGGTTCAGTAGGTTCCATAGATGAATGATGGGTCTTCAGGGTTTGTGCTCTTGGCTAAAAATGGCTGTCAAGAGTTAGTCTACACAAGATGTGTTAAAATTAATACCTGACTATTAACCTCTATTTCTTCTCTAGGGAATGCAGTCGAATTTTTGGTGAAGATGGTCTGACATTGAAGCTCTTTCTTAAGAGAACTGCTCCCTTTTCTATTCTATGGACTTTGACTAATTACCTGTATTTACTGGCTTTAAAGAAGCTGACAGCCACAGATGTCTCTGCTCTGTTCTGTTGTAACAAAGCCTTTGTCTTCTTGCTGTCGTGGATCGTGCTGAAAGACAGGTTCATGGGAGTGAGGGTAATGGCACACTTGATTCAATGTGTAAGGCCGCATTTAATCATAGATCCTTGGTATCAGGAGAGCTGCTTTGTTTTGTGGAGTTTCTGCAAAACTTTTCCCATTGGTTCTGAGTACAGATTGAAATTCGAAGTTGCATTAGGACGCCCAGGCAGTTACAACATCATGAGAAGATAAAGAGATTGTTTCCATTGGAATCAGTCAGCTGATTTCAACAGGAGGCACTCAGGGAAAAGAAGTTCTTTTCTTAGAATTAATGGTGTGATCAACTCCTTCTGTCCTCGGAAAAGAAGGGTCTGAGAAAATTAGCCACAGTAAAGATTATGATTTGCTTTTTTTCCAATCAACATACGTTGGGACAACTCCCTCATGTCTTTTCCCCCCAGAGATGGATTTAATTAATATTGGTGTAAGTAGATAAGGTTACCAAACAGTAATTAAAGTCACCAGTAATGGCACAGTGCTGTTAAAAGTGGCTATATATCTAATGTGACTAACTAGATATGGAACTAAAAGCAATAACTCTTACTTTGGGGTACAAATCCTTAATTGAACTGCATTAAACTTCCACCAACCACTTCAGTTCTGAGTTTATATCCCTTTCACAGGTAACATGGATTTAAAAATAAAAAAATTTTTTGTATGCTTGATCTTTGTTAGATTGATTGAAAACCATGCAGATGTAAGGAGCCAGATCTCATTCATATAATCTGGTATGCCACCATGATGAAAATATTGAGTAAATAGTTCCTTGAAAGGAGGTCCAAACGAATAGCCTTTTTCCAGAAGATAAACATCACACAATTATTGTTCTCCAAAAAAGATGTCCAAGACTGGATTTGAAACACATTTTGCTATCAAAATATTGCTCTTGTTGCAATGATTCCAGGGTCCTTGCCCTGCTAAATGCTGAAATTCATGTCTATATTAGAGAGAGAGTTTGTGACAGGTATCATCCTGAAAACTTCATCTTAATAGCCAATTAGCAATTAGCTAATTCTGGTTGTATCTTGGGAAATGCTGCTCAGAAATTCAGAACTGAAACTTGACATGAACAAGTGAAAAGCTACAGCAGAAGACAGCATAAGAAACTGAATCAGTCCATGATACCATTAAACTATACCAGATGTGGTCCCATACTCATTCTCCATAGCTAATCTTAGATCTCACACCCAAAGGGCTTAGCATCATGTTTTCACACATGAAGCATTGGTACTGTCTGTCCACGATCACATGCCCTGACAAGTACTTGAGAACAAGAACCTTCTTTACATTGCTCACTGATCCATTCAGCTTGGGCTACATAATTTGTGGGCCCCAGTGAAAAGTGAAAATGCAGGCCTCCTGTTGAAAAAAATTGTGAATAGGGTTTCCCTGGTGGCGCAGTGGTTGGGAGTCCGCCTGCCGATGCAGGGGACGCGGGTTCCTGCCCCAGTCTGGGAGGATCCCACATGCCGCGGAGCGGCTGAGCCCGTGAGCCCGTGAGCCATGGCCGCTGAGCCTGCGCGTCCGGAGCCTGTGCTCCGCCACGGGAGAGGCCACAACAGTGAGAGGCCCGCGTACCGCAAAAAAAAAAAAAAAAAAAAATTGGGAATAATTTCAACATGGCAACATCAGGGAGCCCACTGCATCTGCACAGGTCATATGCCCACGAAACTAGTTCTAACACCTAGAATAATACAAGGGACAAAGTAGAGACGCTACATATTTAAGGATATAGTGAATGAACTCATGCTTACAAGATCTTTCTCTTGTCTATCTACTACCACCTTGGATCACCCATGAGTATTTGGAGGGCCTTGTCAGAAGAGAGGGCAAGGAAGGAGATTTAGGGGCTTTTCTGCTCTTTCAGTGTCATGTGAATACCAAAAGGAAATAGATATGTTCACTATTAGATTTGCCAGTGAGCAAATCAGTTGTATTAGAGTGAATGAATGCATTTAACCATGGAACTTACTTATGCAAGGGGTCATATCAAAAGAAGCTTGATGTTTATTTGAGGACTTTTAGGGGGAAAAGCTCAGCTGTGTAACATTTAAATGGCAGATTTAGGAAATCGGCCCAGAAGCTACAAAGCATTTCTATCTTAAAATTTGCATCGGTGGTGGGTTTAATGGTGGCCCCCAATAAGGTGTCCATACTCTAATCCCCAGAACCTGTGAATGTGACCTTACTTGGAAAAATAGTCTTTGCAGACATAATTAACTTAAGGATTTTGCAAAGAGGAGATCATCCTGGTTGATCTGGGTGGCTCCTAAATCCAATAACAAGTATCCTTATAAGAGACACACACAGGAAAGACACACAGAGGAGGGGAAGGCAATGTGACCACAGAGACAGAGATTAGAGTGATGCAGCCACAAGCCCAGGGAAGCCAGGGCAGCCACCAGAACCTGGACGAGGCAGGAATGTAATACTGTTCTCTCCCAGAGTTGCTGTTGGGAGCATGGCCCTGCCCAATTTTGAACTTCTGGCCTCCAGAACTATGAGAGAATAGATTTCTGCTGTTTTTAGTAACCAAGTTTGTGGTAATTTGTTACAGCAGCCTCAGGAAACTAACACAGCATCTGTAAGTAATAAAACCTGATAGAAAAATTGTTAAGTAGCCAATAAGTAGTTGTTAATAAGTAAATATGTAAATTAAGACATCATAATGACAAAATAGTAAGTATTAATGTCAGGCATGCTGGGAGAAGCCAGGTATTTTTCTTTTTAAATGACAGGAGGTGCTTCACTTCTCACTGTGAAACATTAGGAAGTGTTTAATGCCATGTTCTAGAAGAATGTCAAGGTGTAATTTTAATAATGCCCATAATCAGGCCATGGAATATAAGAAGCACCGAAACATATTCAGCACTTTGCCTTTTGACCATATCAGCAGTTCTTTTCCTTCTGAGACATATTGAGAACATGTATAATTAGGTCATTTGAGAAATTAGAGGAGGACAAATAGAATACTGACAACATAAATGCAGCTCTTATTGCCTACACCCATAAACAGGACAAAGCCTGTAGATGCCACCCCACTTGGACTACTCTTTTTTTAAATAGTTAAAGGGTTGCTTTCAGTCATCACATCAAAATGTATATTTCTGACTCATTCTAAGTCTTCAGTAGTTCAGAAAAAGATAGTTTGGGGATTATGATTCTCATTTGCATGACCCGAAGAATTATCACCCTTAAGATAAAACATATGGCCTCCCCTACTTCTATGTTTGTTTGTTTTTTTTTCAGTACGCGGGCCTCTCACCGTTGCGGCCTCTCCCGTTGCGGAGCACAGGCTCCGGACGCGCAGGCCCGGTCGGCCATGGCTCACGGGCCCAGCCGCTCCGCGGCATGTGGGATCTTCCCGGACCGGGGCACGAACCCGTGTCCCCTGCATCGGCAGGCGGACTCTCAACCACTGCGCCACCAGGGAAGCCCTCCTACTTCTATTTTTCACGTCAAAATGACACGTTGAACAGAATGAAGGATGCTTTAAATTATAATATCAGTAAATACGGGTTTATCTGGAGCACCAGTTGGCCAGAATTAGCAATGCTCACATAAAAACTAATTATATGTTTTGAATAACTTGTTAATATTTAGTTTCCTTGGAATTTTGATTGAATCACAGATGGAAAGGTAGTCTGCCATACATTTAGTTTTCTATTATGAAATTCTTTCAGCCAGTTTGCTAGTGAGTTTTGGTGTGTTAAAAAACTCATAAGTAGCTGCTTACAGCTGATGTATGATAATCATGTGGAAATTAGTAAACTTCTTTAAAAGACCTTTCTTTTTAATTGCAAAAATGTTGCCAAGTGAGAATCCAGCTCTTGCAGCATTGAAGATAGGTGTTTTTCCCATCTCCAAGATCTGTTTTGTTTAGCTAGCATTCTTAAATTCATCAGAACCAGAATATCACTGAATATCAATGATATTGATATTGATCACAGAATATCAATAAAAAAAGGTTCTCCGCAAAAGAAAACAGAAACAAATGAGCCACTGCTTCAGGTTTTCTTCTCTATCACTGGCATCCATTTCACTCCAATGAAAAGTAAACGCCAGACTAGAAAATTAACACCCTTTCTTTCAGATCTTGTCCCCCCCTTGTTTTTATATTATTAATTGAAAATGTTCATTCATTTTCAAATTTCCTTGAACATGTGAAGAAAATTGGTGGGCAATGAATGGCTCAGCAGACCCCAACTTTTATAGCAGATTGAGGAAATGAACTTGTGTCCCTTCAGCTTGGTAGCCACCTATTTTCTAGGTATAATTGGGTCCTTATGTGTTTAGTTTCCCAAACTGTGGCTCTTTTGGAGACTTTCCTCCATCCGCTAAGAACTGACTGGGGTATGACAGTTAAATGGAATCTTTCATTGCTTTAAACTGCTCTTCTCTGAATTCAAACTGGGCTCCAGGGCACTCTAAATCAATCAGGACCCTGAAGCTGAGCTGCTACTGATTTGTGCCAATATTACATATTTAGATAAGATTCAAGACAATCTTGTTTCCATTTTGCCTCTGATTGGCATTTCTGCAGTAACTCTTCATTCCTGGGCAGTGCAGACTGCTCTGTCTAGAACCTTCATGCTTCCCGCTGGAGGCAGTAGAGGATGGGTAGTGGGGCTCTTCCCCTTTCATCCTCCTCTTGGCAGGAGAATGATTCACGAATACAGGGAGGGGAGAGCTGAGTTGGGAAGGCTCTCCGATCTTATGCCCTCAAGGAACCCATAACCCCTGTCAACAAGGTGCAGTCAATAGTTCTCATCTACCTTCCACACGTACTCTGGAGTCTTTCCTTCCGGGATTTCTTTCCTTCTCTTCCGTCCTGGTCTTCCTTTGGGATCATTTTCAGATGGGTATTTTTTCATATAAAAACAGATGTGTATGTGTGTGGCAGTGGGGTGGAGGATGGGAATCTTAGTTTGAGTCTCAGGCTTGACCTGCCCCACCCCAGGGACCCACCCACCTCCACACACACACGCACACACACACACACACACACACACACACACACACAGAGTATCCGGACAGCTGTGGACTGCCCACCTCTTTAATTTCTCACACGTCAACTCTTGTCCAATTTCATTGGCTCTGAGTAAAACAGATGGCTCTTCTTTATAGAAGCTTAAATGTAACATGTGGTCAAGTTTAAGGATTCTGTGCAGCCATGGTTCCCTGAAAATGGACTCTATCCAAATACACTCAGAGGGAAGAAGAATGATCTCCAGTGCAGGTCTCACTGGCCAAACTATGAATGTGTATCCCACCTTCAGCTGCTAACCTTGAGTCTTGAACTTGAGTGCAGTCTGGCCAGCAGTATAGCTTTGAGGCCCCCCATTTCAGAGCCTGATGTAGGCTTGGGATTCAAGGTCCATTGAAAGCCGGGGAAGCTCCTACCTGCTCCAGCCAGCTCCAGAAACAGGGTTAACCACACGGCAAATTAAGGAAAGATGTTTGGGTTACAGTTAGAAAGAGAAGCAGTTAAAGGTTCATCTCAATACCCTGAATCATAGAAGAGCTGATATTGTTGTGAGAATGATAGTTCTGGAAATCATTCGTCAATGGGAAACACAGTGACTGTAATGAGGCTCATAAACCCTCCTGGAGATCCAGAGAAGGGCTGGACCCTTTTGGGTTTTGAGGCCCTGAGTCAAAAGAGGAAAACAATGAAGATAAAAGAAAACAAAAATCAGCCAAAAGCCAGCTATTTCTCTAGGTTTTATCTATACAAACTAATTCTTTGGGATGGGAAAGAAACCTTACTTTCAGGCAGGGCCACAGGTAGTATACATTTCAGTGAGATCACCAAATGTTTACTGTTAAAGCCCTCTTTGGGCTTTAAGAACAGGTCCCCCTCATGGTCCCCCTCTGATTGGCCCTGAGAGTTGATGCAGAGACTCTCGGAGGGAAGTGAGCCCACAGAGGAAGGTAGTTGGCTCAGGTGGTGATGTCCCGCAAGGAGCACGCAAAGATAACGGGCTAAATAAGTCCTCTTCCTCAGGGTATTCACCCCAGGTGGGCACACCATGATGTGAGAGAACCCAGAGGTTTAGAAGGTTAAAAATGAGGCATTGGCAGCTTTATGATCACTATGGTTACTAACATTTTCACCCAGGTCAGATTCAGGTAACGGTTGTGGTGGGTTTCCAACTTATTTAGACATCTCTGGTTGGTTATGGGGCTGCAACTGGAGTAGGTTGTGAGGAGAGCCATGTTTTTCTGAAGCCAAGCAGGTGTCACCATGAGATGGCACCATCAGCAGAGGAGTCCCTCATGTGGACGCTAATGTGCTCAGAAGCATTTTTGTTTGTCAGCATGTGGATGTCACATGTGAGCCCTTCTGACACAGTACTTAAAGCGCTGGCTTCCTGCAGGTACATTTCCAGCATCCTGAGCACAAGAAGAATCATTTTGTACTTTTTTTGTTGAGAAGACAATTAATCCTTCCTTAACGATTGATTACTTCTGAAAACGCACATGACTCAGACCTGTGCTTGGGTTACATATTCTCCAGAAATCTCAAGAATATTTACTCTGTAATTAACCAACAGTGCCAGGCAGAACCACTCCAAGATCATCCAAACAACCACTCCAAATGAGCCTGCCACCCAACACTTCCCTGCATTTTCTAGACTAGCTGAGCTCCCTTCCCTTAGTTCCAACTGTGTAGATAAGAAACATACAGAAAAAAAATTTTAAACCTGGCCATAGAGAACTTGTTCTATCAGATAGTTGTGAAATTTAAATAGAAATGTGGAAAATAATTTATCTTTTCCCCCCAGGTAACCTATATAAGCTATAAATTATTAACCTATAAATACCTGTTCATACCATAGAGAGGAATTTTTCTAACATTGGAAATATTCAGATTTTCATGCTTTTGGAACCTTAACAGCACTGTCTGGCCCCCTGAAGTGAAAAATGCTTCTCTCCGTGACCACAATTCAAAGAGACACTGGTATAATTAATATGACAATTTAAGTGGTCTGAGCTAATATTTTCACAAGCACTTAAATATAAAATGTAATGGAGATCTTTAAGAGGCTCATCATGACTATAATTCTGAATTGCTATAAAATTATGTAATCTATGTCCATGTCCAATTCCTATCTTGAGAAAACTTATAATAGAGGTAAATACAGTGCATATGTATTTTTACTAATGGCTGACTCAGAAAAGAAAGTGTTCCCAACCGGGTCATATCCTGGGGATAATGGTATTAAATGTTCAACACTTTCCAGACAGTGTTTTTGTTTTTTTCCCTTTTTTTTTTTTTTTTTTTGTATGGACTGTTTGTTTTCAGAATCCCCTAAGCCAAGAATTATATATTATACACAATTGCTTAAACCCAGATATTGTATGTTATAGAATAATTTTAGTAATTTTAAATATTAAACAGCACATCATGTTAAAGCTTCATTAGGATTAACACTGTGTTCTGTTACCCCTGTCTTGAAGAAATTACCTGTTTTTTTGACTAAGAAAATACATCTGATGTTTGGTAAAAAGAAAACAAGTATTAATTCAAATTTATTATCCTACAAGTTCAGTATTTTGAGGGAAATCTATCTGTGTACATGAATACTTTAACCTATGAACATTAACACAAAAACAAGTCAGAAACTGCCAGTGTTTAAGGTAACTTTTCATTTCTCTGACATCAGGTTGCCCAAAGAAATGTTGCAAATCCCTGGCTGAACTATAAATCCCCAAATCAAAGAAAATGATAAGTCTCACAGAATTCCCAGGTCTAGGGAACCACTTCACCATGTTTATTTATGAGTCTATGACTTCCTGTTTGCAAAATTTCCTTGACACCTCACATTGTGTGCATTTGTATTAAATTCTATTCCCTATAGTTTGAGGCACAGTCTAACCGGAACACGTGGCTAGAAGGTTTAGAGACTGTGATACTCAGTCAGCAAGAGCAATGCCCCACCCCCCACCCCTGGATAACGCTTTATGAAGACAGTTTTTCACTGCTGACAAGTCGGCTTCTATTCTCAAGTACTCCTGCTGCTTTTCATAAAAGACGCTTTAGTATGGAGCTGGCTCTGAAACCAGCTGTGCCCTTGCTTTGGGTGGTCATTAACAAAAGAAATGCTTTAACAGCGTCTAAATTATATGTGCCATTGTTATCATACTTTGCACTGGCCTTCAGCAAGTCTACAGTTGCGTGTTGAAGATCTACATTTTGTTGTAATGAATAATTCACTAATAATATTTCAAAGGGTCAAAAAATATCCCACATGTGAGAAATCTATCTACAGGGGAACTGATTTACTTGCGAATACTCAGAACTGAAGCTTAACAAAATTGATCACCAGGTATATTTAAATTTCCCACAAAGTTGCATCATGATTTTAAAGTCAGTGAGACTATTTCACAAGGAGATGATAGTGTTTCCTACTCCAGGGTTGTCATTTTACTGTTTACTGTAGCTTTAAAATGTTTTCCAGTAGAAACCAGTTCAAGGTAAATTAAAGAAATAGATGCCAACCAGCATTTCGCAAAGGAAGTGGACTCCTGTTTGGAATATACCAAGGATCATATTAATTTACAGTCAACCATTATGATTTCAATCAAATTCTTAATATTTCACTTTATACAGCTAATGCTCTAGAATAATTGAATGAAATTATCTTTCTGTGGCTTAATTTGCATGTAAACAAAAGGAAGAGCTAGCTTCCGTTTGATAGTCCAAGTGACAGTGCAAACTCAGCTCGCTCCTTATAAATCACTCTGAAAGAGTATTCTTTCCTTTTTTCACTTTGGCCTAAAAGTGTCCTCCTAGCTGCAGCAATATTATGTCTCCATAATCAAGTTCTGGTTATATGGAGATGTTCAGAAACATGCATTGATCCAAGGAGCTGATTAAAATGTATGCTGAATTGTCTGAGGAAAAAGAACACAGTACAGATGAAAATGCTAAGAAGTGACTTCCTATTAAATTTATTTCACCACTATGGGTATTAATCTCTAGGAAGTTGATCTAAAAATTAAACTACAATTACTAGCCCTTAATTAGAATGTGAGCAGCTTCTATATTTTCTGCCTGGTTGTCTCATGAGCATACGGATTTCTTGCTAATACTGACCTTTCCTACATTTAAACAGTGATGTACAAGAGGTAATTGGGTTTGAGGAAGCATGTAGCAACTCCCATGATGCCTTCAATTGCTTCTCTGGGGTATGGAGGCATCAATTAAAAATTTTTTTCTCTTTGCATTCTACTTGATAGATAGTTGCCGCAATAATGGCAATCACTGGCATCGTCATGATGGCGTATGCAGATAATTTCCATGCTGATTCCATCATAGGAGTAGCATTTGCAGTGGGCTCGGCCTCGACATCTGCACTGTATAAGGTATTCTGTGCACTTCCTTATGTACTCAACTGTCATTTGTAGCTTAGACTTTTAAGTAATAAAAGAAGGAAGGACAAAGAAAATCTTGACTAGCAAAAAAAAAAGATGGTTTAAATAATAACAAGTACCAATTATTGAGTACTTGCTACAGGCTGGGTGCTTGCTAGAAATTTTCACCTGCGTTAATGCACCTTTATGAGGCATAGGTGCTTATCCCCACTTTCCAGATGAGGAAACTGAGACTTTGAAAGATTAAGTAACTTATCCAAGATCATCCAGCCAGGAAGTGATAGAGCCAAGATTTAAACTCGGACTGGTCAACTCCAAAGCCTGTGGTCCGTGCCCCGACCCCTCCCAAATCATCTATCAGTTATAGCAGGAGCCGAGGAAGACTTCTCCCCTATGTTTCTTTAATTTAACTATTGAGGCCATTATTTCAACTACAATGAGGTATTAAAAATACCTTGAGAGTTTACTGTTTGTTGCATATTAACCTGGAACACGTGTCAATGTTATTAGCTAAATGAAGAGCCTCTTTTCTTCTCTGATGGTTACTGGGTTTGTACTCACAGTTCTTTCTCCCCTGGAGTGGCCTGTCATCAGTGAAAGCTCTATTCGGAATCACTGTCCCTGACTTCAAAAGTGAGGATTAAGAGAGCAGATCTAAAAGGTTATTCACAGAAGCTCCACTTTTCAGAGCCAAATTTCTGGATGTAGCTAAAGAACTGTTCCACTTTCACCTCTCTTGGGGTTTCAATGAGAAAATCCTCTCTGAAAGGCAGAAAATGCCCTTTGCATCCACCTCTGGATGCCTGTTCCGATTATTCACCAATGGATGCCTGTTCCGATTATTCACCAACTCTGCCGCTCAGAGGACATTGTGTCTATTTCCATATCGACATTTCCTGGCCCACTGATTCTGTGACAAGCTTGACAGGTGTTCACTCAATCACCATTAGTGTCTAACTTGCCCCCAACTGAGACTCCACGGAGATGTGTGATGTGACCAAATACCACAAGCACGTGCTCAAGTTCTCTTAAGTCTCTCAAGAGAAAAAAATGATACGTTTAGTTGAAATTAAAAGCAATACCAGGACTTGCTATATGCCTGGGATGGCTCTTTTATAGAGAGAATTCTCCTGACCATGTTACAGATGTATTCATTCTGGGAGCGGTAATATTTCGCTGACATGCACAAAATCGTATGTGTACCATAGAAAAGAGATACTCTGTGCTACATTGTTTGAGGATTAATAAAGGAAGCAGAGGGGTTAAAAAGCCAAGAAATATGGACTAGAGAACTGGTTCCTCCCCAGCCTGATGTGTGATTTAGATTAGCTATATATGTCTCCTTGCCATCTTTTTCTACACACAGATTTATAATCCAGAAAACAAAGACCATCTTTTTTAAAATCTGGAGAATAAATACGGTACTTGTGAAAATATTTTAGGCTCAGAGAGAAAAGTGCTTATAAATCCATGGCATTGTTATTATTTCTCTCAATAATATAATGATAGCCTCTCTCTGTCCAATTTAGTTTTCAGTACCTGTCAAAATAAGGGTAAAATGAATCCCATGCTTGAAGAGGAGAATTGATGGCACCTCAATCCTAGATGTTTCTGGGCTTGTCTGCACTCTTATTTATCATCCGCCCTGTAGCCATAACTGATGGTGGTGTTTTTCCCAGTGTGCAGTATCCCTGTGGCACAGAAAGTGGAATTCATTTTATGGCATTTGCTGTTTCATATGAAGGCTAGAGGGCATTTGAATTCCTTATCTCAGCAGCACATTTAGTGCCACGGAGACGGTGGGATAAGAAGACATAGAGCATAAACCCTGCGCCAGTTAGTTCATGATGTAGAAATTGCCTTTCTGATACAATGTCCCTGACTGTGTGGCTAATGAGTTCCTTTCTCGTTCTAGGTTTTGTTTAAGATGTTTCTCGGAAGTGCCAACTTTGGTGAGGCAGCACACTTTGTCTCCACATTGGGTTTCTTCAACTTAATCTTCATCTCCTTCACCCCCGTCATCCTGTATCTCACCAAGGTGGAGCACTGGTCCTCGTTTGCAGCTCTGCCGTGGGGCTGTCTCTGCGGGATGGCAGGGCTCTGGCTGGGTAAGTGGCCCTGGGTTTTGCCTTCCATTTCCTATGTCACTTGACCTCTCCTTGGAGAGTTAAATTGTCATAGTAAGATTATTCCTTTGGGTACCCCTGTCCTCTATTTCCCAAACTTACCTAACGTTGGTTAATGGTTGCAAAGTTCTTTGCAGATTATTGCTTGATTAGATCAGAGCTATCCAGCTAGTATGCCTCCCATGGGTTAAGTGCTGAGCTGATCACCACGGATCCTCAAGTAGCCTCGTCCATTCTTCATGATGTACTGTGTGATGTTATTGTGTTCCATGTGTGGCACAGTGTGTCAGGCAGAGGGGGAGAGTGGATGGGGGATTCAAGGGACTCAAAGTGGATCAAATGGCAGGAGCACCAAGTGCAGGAGGAACTGGGGAGGAAGGAAGGACATGTCATTCAGGAGGGCAGCAGGTCACGGAGGGCCTGGAACGCCACGTTGAGGGGATTGGCTTTCAAATCCACTTAATGATCTTTAAGCAGGGAGGTGACAGGCTTACATCTGCATTCTAAACAGTCTACTCTGGTCGTGTCTGGAGAATGAATTTGAGATGGGAAACCCTCACCGAGCAAGGGAAGATGACAGAACAGGACGAGGTGGCCCTGCTAAGTAGGCTGTGCCTAGCAGATGACCAAGAAATAGCCACCTGGAGTGTTTCTCATGTTCTGTCTCCCAACTCCCCATGACTCTGAGCCTGTCTGCTTCACCTGAGCAGCTGGGGGGGGGCTCCCACTTTCCAGCTGCGCTTTCATTTAATGTGAGAGGAACCTCAATATAACAAGCCCACTCTTTCGCTGTGCCTAGCAGATGACCAAGAAATAGCCACCTGGAGTGTTTCTCATGTTCTGTCTCCCAACTCCCCATGACTCTGAGCCTGTCTGCTTCACCTGAGCAGCTGGGGGGGGGCTCCCACTTTCCAGCTGCGCTTTCATTTAATGTGAGAGGAACCGCAATATAACAAGCCGACTCTTTCCTCACCAAGCAGCTGAACAACAAACACCCAATGACTCAGGGTCTCTGCTCAGAATCAAACCCCTTTCATTCTGCTCCTCTCCCCCGTTCCACCTGGTAACAGCACCCTCTGCCCACTCCATGTTCACCCGCCATACTGGACCTGCAGGACATCTGCTGCCCCTCAGTTGACCTTCTTTATCAAGGTGACATAGTCTGAAACAGCACTGCAAGTCTTAGGAGGGAAAAAGAATGCCCTTGTTTTCGTTCCCACAAAAACACTGGATCATCTTCTACTCTGGCCCAGGCCCCTAAGGGGAGCTCTTCAACCAGACAGGAAACACTCACGAGAAAGATCAAACATTAATTGTTGATCCTTTAAATTCTACTTTTGAAGACCAAAAATGTGTAATTATGACCGCTCATAACCTGTGCTAAATTGAGTAGTAGAAATCAATAGCAGTCTTTCCATAAGACCAAAACACCCTAATTAAAAGTGCCTAGATCTCTTCCTGGCCAAAAGCAATCTAATTGGGAATAATCATAGCCCAAATTTCACTACCTCTTGGCCCCAGCTGTGACCCGTGATCTCCAGCTTGCTGCAAAGTAGCCCTCCACCCACGTTGATCCCTTGGCACCTCTAATAACGCACTCCTAAGCAAGCCTGCTCAGGCTGGGCATCACCCATGCTAGCCGGACCCTGAAGTTCTCCACCAAGCAGCGTGATCTCCACACTGCACTGGGTGTAGTGCCGCCCAGCTTAGAGCTGCCCCACAGGCTCATCCCCGTGCATGGAGCCCTCTCTGTGCCAGGGTTGCCCTGTGACAAAATGAGGAGACAGCCTCTCTCCTGACTGTGTTACACACCCCAGGGTTTTGCAATCTTCAGTGCTTCTGCTCTTAAGTTTTTATTGCCACCTTCTCTTCTCCATAGGAATCAGATATGATCTAGTGAGATCAGGGCTGGAGACAGATCTGAGAGGCAAAGAGCAGGCTGAACTCTGACCCCACCCCCCATCACCTGTAACTACAGCTTCTATCTGATTAGGTTCACCTGGCCTCATTCCTGC